CTGCTGCTGCTGGTGGTGCTGCTGTTGCTGCTGCTTTTGCTGCTGCTGCTGTTGCTGTTGCGGTTGGTGCTGCTGCTGCTGTTGCTGCTGCTCCTGCTGCTCTTACTTTCGCTATTTTTGCTGTTGCTGCTGCTGCTTCAGACTAAACAGACATCAAAGGCTACTGATGATCTGCGGTCCGAGCAGCAGCAGCTGCAGCAGCAGCTGCGACAGGTGCAGCAATTGCAGCAGCAACTGCAGCAGCAGCTGCAGCAGCAGCAGCAGCAATTGCAGCAGCAGCAGCAGCAGTTTCAGCAGCAGCAGCAAAAGCAGCATTCCGAGCTGAAAAGCGAGCAGCAGCAGCAGAAAGAGCAGCAGCAGCAGCAGCAGCAAAAGTTGAGTTCCTTGGGATGCAGCTACCAGCAGCTAGCTGAGCAGCAGCAGCAGCTAGCTAAAAAGACAGAGCAGCAAACAGCAACGCTGCAGCAGCTGCAGCAGGAGCTAGTAGATGTGCTGGAGTTGGGGAGGCAGCAGCAGGAGCTGCTGCAGCAAGAGAAGCAGCTCGCAAGAGAGACTGCTGCACTGCAGCAGCAACAGGCTGCTGATGTTGCTGCCTTGTTGGCACAGCAGCAGCAGCAGCAACAGCAGCAGCTGCAGCAGCAGCAGCAGCAGCAAGAGCACTGGACCGAGTATAAGGAGCACGCGAACCAGCAGCAGGTGTGGCAGCAGCATTTGGAGCAGCTGCAGCAGCAGCAGCTGCAGCAGCTGCAGCAGCAGCTACAGCAGCTGCAGCAGCAGCGGAACGCAGCAGACAGAGCCAGCATGGAGTGTATAGACAGCCTGAAGCTGCGACAGCAGGAGCAGCAGCTGCAGCAGCAAGAAGTGCTGCGGGAGCAGCAGTCGCTGTCTGCTCAGCTGCACCAGGTACAGCAGCAGCAGCAGCAGCTGCAGCTGCTGCAGCAGCAGCAGCTCCAGCTCCAGGAGCAGCGGCAGCAGCACGATGATAGAGTCAAATGGAAAATAGAAGAAGAGCTGAAGCAGCTGCGAAGGAGACTTATGGGTTCTTCTTCTTTTTTAAAAGAAAAAGGCATGCACAGACGCAGAGCTGCTGCTGCAGCAGAGCAGCAGCAGCAGCAGCAGCAGGACACCCCCGGCCGTGCTGCTGCTGCTGCTGCTCCCGGCAGCAGCAGCAGTGATGCTGATTTTGCCTCTGAAGACAACAGTAACGCTTCAGACAGCGGCAAAGGGCCTCGAACTGCTGCTGCTGCTGCTGGCGCCCGCAGGCAGCAGCAGCAGCAGCAGCAGCAGCAGTTAGGCGCAGCAGCAGCAGCAGCAGATCTGGGGAAGAGTTTTAGGACAGGAGATATGAGCAAGAGAGAGTCTTCAGCTCTTAGCTACATCCTTCCGCCAGCCTTTGCCTTTAAACAGCCCGGCGGTAGCATACCTGCTGCTGCTGCTGCTGC